TATAGAAAGATGGCAGAATGCTCTCAACATCTCAACATAGGTAATTCTTATATAGGCTTTTTGAAACATCATTCATGTCATATATGTACCAAATATTAAATAATGAATCTACTAAATACATGTATTATCATTATAGTGACACATAAATAATCTAATACATGTATCTTTCAAATGGATCTAATTCCAAGATGTATCGGGTGAATTCTTAGATTTGGTCTTTTAAAAATTTGTTCATGTGCAACTATACAATTAATGATGAATCAAGTTTATTCATTTGCAGTTACAACTTTGTGAAAGTGAGTTTTAGCTCAATGATAATTGATAGAGCTTCAAATCCTAACGTAAGGTTCTTCTTTGATTCTCTGCCAGGACACTCACAAAATTGTCTTTAAATGCCTTGGAATGTCCAATATGTAGGTCTGAAATCTAGGACTTGAGTTGGAATTGTTGGAGACAATGTGGGCTAAACCATAGAATGGAGAAAAAACTTCCTTAATTGAGTGTTATGAGACTTCGCTTAATTGGAGCATGATGGTTAAGAATGAATGGAGAACATCTCTATGTAAATGATCTAGATATAATATCAATATAACTCAAAAAATACGCATGAACTTGATGAACATGACTAGAAAAATCGTCGATGTTTATGGAGTGTTACGTTATATTAGACTCGACGAAACCCTTTTAAGAAGCTTCTAGAAAAGTTACGTGGCAAATAAACGCCAAAATACATATTTATAAAGTGGATAATTAGAGTGATGCATAGAATATCATAAACAGAGATGAAAAAGACATAAAAGAGAGAGAAGGATTAGAATAAATGAGTTGAAAGGCGTGATTAGTAGCAGTGTTAAGGATGGAGGGTTTGGATGAGTAGTACACGTAAAGGAGATGGAGATGAGTTGCATGTGGCAATGAGAGGAGGAGGGGAGTGTGTGGTTGAAGCGTAAAGTGGCAACGACAATGGAAAACGGCCCCTTCAAAAGGTTGGCTTTGTTAGAATTAGACACACATGAGACAAGCGCCCACTGCACTGCACTGCCCTTTTACACACGGAACTATGCAGAAGTGCCCTTTTCAATGTCCTTCCATCGCTAATTTAACAAATTATGGGTAACCAAATACAAAGTTAATGAGTAAATCATGTGGGGTGGCAAGGAAGACAAAAATTGTGTCCCGACACATTTAATGCACAATGAAGAGCATTGGCAGTCGGCATAGCCTCCTTCCAAATATTCATTTCAATTATTATAAACTGCCGTTTCCCACCTTTGTACCGCCGATGTAATGCTTCTCTTATGGATAACACAAATATGAATGTGTGAACTCTATTTTACGCAACTCTATCCTCCCTCCTCCTCCTTTCCAATATCTTTTCTACTCTCATTTTATCTTTTCTTACATCAATTTCTACTACTATTATTATTTTTTTATTTTTTTGTTGTTAAATCGCACAACTCACACACTCGATTTAGATGAAAAACATAAACAGAAGAGAACGTATAAGAAAAAATATACTTCAAGTTTTTTTTAATTCTTAAATAAACTTAACCCATAAGTAAACATCACATTTCACAACTTAAGAGTTCTCCATCTTCCAATTAATATAAAAATTATTCTCAAACTGTTAATGGTATGTTCTAACATCAATCCATTTTGTTAACATGTTTATTGGATGTCTCTTTTGTCTTTCTGAAACATATACCACCTTGTCTCACTTACTTGCAAGTAAGATGAAATTGTTTTCTGATGTGTTTTGTCTTTGAATAATAGATCGAGTTCTTCACCAATTTATGATACTTATCTTGTTTAGATTCTCACTTGGTTGATTAGGTGCCACTTCTAGGTAGCCGCCTTATTTGTTTGTGAGGGTTACAACCTACTGTTTTCATGGTATGGTTGCAACACTTTTTCCCACTTAAACTAGTCATTGTCCTTAATGACTTATTATGAGGAGCAATCGTATGGTGGATTGTGACATTCTCTCTCACTTAATTTTGATATCAGATAATGATTCGAGAGTTAAACTAGTTGCTAACTAACTCGTTAGAAATAAACTGCTCTAGAATGAATACAAAAATGGAGCACTACTTATGGGTTATTCCACTGATAGACATTCTCTCGGTCTTCCGAGACTCGCAACATAAGCAAAACAAACAACAACCAGCTCATCTCGGACTCATTCTAGGACTCACTAGATAAACCATGGCAAAATTAGTATAAGCATATCATTACCTGAGCTAAAAGGAGTGCGTCCCAAACGTGGCTATCTTGGTCTCAATGCATGTACGCACAAATTGGTACATCCCTCGAATGTGGCTCGCAAGCCCAATCACAATATTTCTTCGCAAGGGTCATATTTCCTTACTGAAGCGAAGCAAAGTTTAGAAGCTTTTAACACATTCCTTTCACTTGTTAGCACTAGCCAATTTTTTACTTAGCCACCTTCATGTGGCACATTACTTCATTCTTCTATACTTTTTTACATCTAGTTTGGAGCTTTTTCTTGAGCAAATATTGGTCTTGACCCATCTTAGGCATAAGGCGATGACTCAAGGAATACTCGTGTGCTCACTATTTGGAGAACTTCCATAGGCTTTGCGCCTTGCCTCTCTTATGCTCACTCGTCTCAAAGTCTTTCTATTTCTTGCATTGATGGATAAGGCTCCTCCCAACTCAAAGAGTCTAGCTTCAACCCCAAACCAATTTTGATTCTGACTCACAATTGTTCTACCCAATTTGGTACTCATGACACACTTGTGAATTTTTTAATTAACCTTCGGGTTGATTATCTTATTTGATAGTTTTTTATACATATTTGACAGTGCCTTCAATAGACTTGATGTTTTCTTTTCTTTGACGATGTTGAATACCACATTTCTGGATGGCGCCAAATAGATTTAACCCTAGATCCTATTGATTTTTTAGCTTCCACTACGTTTCTTGACCGCGTCAACTTGATCAACCCTTAACCTACTGATCCTTGAACTTCCACTACGTTCCTAGACAACATCAACTAGATCAACCCTAGAGTCTATCGATCCTTGAGCTTCGACTCGGTCATGAATCCAACTTCACCTCAGACAAGGATTCATGAAGATTTTTTTGGTACAGATAATCTTCAATCTACATCTTCCAGAATTCGTTATCAAATACATCAAACTTCTTGATCCCTATCTTTGAACTTTCCATCTTCACACATTGCGGTGAATTTCTCCTAGCTATAGTACTAGTTGTTAGGATCATACAACTCACATGCTCAATGAAGAACAAAGGAGAGAAGATGCAAGTAGAAATATACCGTGGTAACACCGGAATGGAAAACTCCATGATAGCTAGGGGTTTATATATTAATGACTTAAGATAGTTACAAATAAGATAATCTATTTTAAAAACTATATAAGAGAATACATAAGATTCTATCTTAGAAACTAAATAGAAGCATAGATAAAATTTCATTTAAGATGTACATCGAAGAATATATAGTTATGTTATACTTTCTCAAATTGATGTTTTATGCTTGCGGGATCTCATGTATATGTAATTTATATAGGCATGAAAAATGATAATTGATATCAATATACATGTGTGATTTACATTTATTTTATCATATAAATCTTTGCATTTAGCATTTAGTGTAGGATCAATGCATACAAAATTGATACCACTTATATACGATAAGCGGTACATACTCAAACTAGCCTTGGAATGAATGTGTAAAAACTCGGAAAAAAAAAAATCATTTAAATAAGAAACCCCCCTTCTCATCCACACACACATGGCACGCAACTGGAGGATTTGCAGCTGTCTAGTATCATAAAAAATAACGTTTGAAGAGGAAAACAAACTACGCTGGAGGAGACTTAATTGCTTTGTAGAATTTCTATAAGTATAAAACCACGTGAGTTTTTGGGCGTGTTATTGCACTTAACTTGATTTATAGGTACTTCAAATGTACGCTTTAAGCCTAGGATGGTTATAAGGTTAGTTCTCAAGTAAGAGACCTTTCTATTAAAATTCAAATTATTTTGTTTTTTAAATACGATTGGATATGTATCTTGCTATATGGTTGTTTACTATTATGCTTTGTTGGTTATGAAAAATTAATGTTTTGGGTCAAGTATATGCATGTTTATGATTTATGAATGCAAGTTTTATGAACGCAAGAAGTATGGTAAAGGTGCAGCAGTTCACTCGTGGTAAGAGTATCTTTGAGCAGAGTATTAATGACATTCATAAAAAAACTAATAGTAAAAATATTATTAAAACAATTGCATTTTTTAAGACCAAGTACCGTATTTTTATTAATTTAGTCTAATAATTTTTAAAAAATATTTTATGATCTACAATACATACACGTTTAATTTTACTTAAAAATAAAATGAGTTTAGCATCTAAAACAAACCTGAAATTTGAATGCAACTCCTATTTTCTAATTCGATAGAAAATTGATAGGATTTGGAAAACAAAAAATTGGAAGCAAATAGATTGAATAAGAAGAAAGTTTTATTTTGTTTGTTTAGGTAGGGATTTGGAAATTGAATCTCAAATTAAAGAAGAAGAAAAAAGCTTACTTAGCTATCAACAAGATATTTAGTTCCACAATTGTATTATCCATAAAAAAATAAATATATATATAAAAGGAAATACAGATTTGAGGAAGGTGGTAGAGATGTGAATGACGCATCAGCAGGCGACCCGCACAGTCCATTTAAATATAGAATACGAGGAGGGACTTGTTTTATTTATTTATTTATTTATGTATTTATTTACTAAATTATTTAATTATTTACATTTTTTAAAAATACTACTTATAAATTAAAACAAAATTTAAATTGGATCTTTCAAAAATACCAATTAATTTTTAAAAATTATGAAAAAAAAATTAAAAAGTTTAGAAGATATGTATGAAATGCATTATTTAATCTATTTATTTTACATAAAAATATAAAAATTAGGTGTATTTATAAGTTTTGAGATGTAATTGGGGTTTGAAGTGAGGCGTGAAGAATTTGTCGTCTCTCTTTTGGCTTGTGAAGCAGAGAGGGAAGCGGAGAGAGAGAGAGAGAGAGAGACGTAGAGAGAGTCCCCACAACTGTGTCTCCGCTGCTCGACAAAACTGTCACCGCCAACACTTCATCTTCCTCTTCTCCCTCCGCTCCTCCTTCCCAACCCCTCAACACCGCTCACCTTCAAGCTTTCAATCAACCTCTCTCTGTTCTCTTCTTATTCTCTCTTCTCTTCCCTTTGCATTTAATATTATTCCATAAACAGCATCAACTGCTCCAGAAATGAAGGAATATGTTCTGATATGGGGTCTCCTTCTGCTCTTTCGGGTTCTCATTTAATGATTGTGGAATGTATGTTCCTTTCCTTTCCCTACGGACTACACTCCTAGATTACCATCCTCTGCTCTCCCCTGTTCTGCTCTGTTCTTCTCTTCAAATATGGAAAGGCTCCAAGGACCCATTAATCCTTCTGTATGATTAATGCCTTTTTCTATTTATTTCAACTTCCTCTGCTTTTAATTCTTCTTCTTCTTCTTCTCTTGCATTCAATGCTTATAAAAATCCCTACTTCCTCCCCAACCCATTGCTCTGAACCTGCTTCTTTTCTTGTGTTTCTCTTCGTTTCAGTTTTATGGTGCCTGTTCTGACATGGGTTGCTCCAGACAAGAACTCTCGAGCTTGGAATTTGATGAATTTGACGAAGCGTATCTGTTTACGTCCAGTTTGGATGAGAAAATGCCGTTTCTTCACATGCTGCAATGTGTGGAGGAGCCATTCAAGGAGCCTAGCTTTCAGAACTTGCTGAAGCTGCAGCAGCACTTAAGCAATGACAAACCATGGAAACAGGAAGTTAACTCGGCTTCGTGTAGAGTGAGTCCAGAGTGCAACCAAAATGGAGGGTTATGCAGGACCCAAATGGAAAATGCTCCTCTACCCACTAAGGAAAGAAGGAAACGGAAGAGATTGAGACCAGCTAAGAACAAGGAAGAAGTGGAGAGCCAGAGAATGACCCATATCGCCGTCGAGCGCAACCGGCGACGCCAAATGAACGACCATCTCAACGTTATCAAGTCCCTCATACCCACTTCCTACATACAAAGGGTACTAACCTCTATACTAAAAGATCGATTTTTTGATATCGACGTTAATTCTCTTGTGTTGTGTTGGTTTTTGTGCACATGAAGGGTGATCAGGCTTCCATAATTGGGGGCACAATAGACTTCGTGAAGGAATTGGAGCAGCTACTTGAATGCTTGGAAGCGCAGAGGAAAGAAAGGAAAGGAGAAGGAGAAGGAGATGAAGAAGGGTCACCCACATCCTCCTCGGCCACGGGAATGGCCTCAAATGGGAGAATAGGAGAAGGGGTTTGTGCAGAGGTGAAGTCAGAGGTGGGAGAGATAGAGGTGACCATGATTCAAGCCCATGTGAACTTGAAGATAAAATGTCCCAAAAGGCAAGGCCAATTGCTGAAAGCCATTGTTGCATTGGAAGATCTTAGGCTCAGTGTTTTGCACCTCAACATTAGTACTTCACAAGCCACTGCCACCGTGCTTTACTCCTTCAATCTAAGGGTATTATTCTGTTTTTTTCTTGTTCTGAAGTCAACCTCAAGCAGATTGACTTTGGGTATGGTGTTTTCCTTAACAAAGAGGGGTCTTTTTTCAGATAGAAGATGAATGTAAGCTGGGATCAGCGGTGCAGATTGCAGGAGCAGTTCATGAAATATTAAGTTTCATAAGCGATGGCAGTCAAGTCAATGACGTGAAGGGAAATTTCAGGCAGTAGAGTGGCAGTGGCTGACTATGGAAGGCTCTTGCCATGCCTTGCCTTGCCTTCCCAAAAGGAAAACAAAGAAGAGCAAATAAGGATGAGTGTGTGGGTGTGTGTGGGCTGTGGGAACCTCGATTAGTGTTGTTTGGTGTACCGCAGATGGGTTGGTCAGAGTGGCAGGGAAGATGATGTTTACAGGTTTAAAAAAAAAAGTGGCTGTCGTCTCCTCATTTACGCAAATCCACAAATGTTCAACAAAATAATTTCAATGTTAATACAATTTTCTTCTTCTTGTTTTGTTTATTGGGACTTCCAACAATTATTCTGAAATGTAACTTTTTTTTTTTTTTTTT